ACGACTCAGCGCATTTTCTTCACTATAAACAATTTGACGCGCTTGAAGCTCTCACGGTGCGCTAAAAGCCGTGTCTTGGAAGGTTGCTAACTGGATGATAACTTGGACCTCGCAGTCGGCCCAGTGTCGTGTGTGCTACAGTTAAGGAGTGGGCGGCTGGTGGTCTGAGAATCAGGCCGCAATTACTCATTCTCAATGGGGCCTTTATGACGTTCTCACTGTGTGGGATCCGAGCCGACGTGGGCGACACGCCTAAGTGCGACTTCGACTTTGCCAGCCTCCAATCTCTATTGCTGCTAGTCAAAAGCCTGGTTATTTGTTGTGTGGACCAGAGGGAGTGGAATGGAACGCCATCGTACGGGCTTGACTGTGCCATCCACCTGAGGCCTCCTTCATCTCCGGTCTTCTTGATTCTGTCTTGCCACCGGGCTCAGGTGGAGAAGGAGAGAGTGTGGTAGATGCTGCGCAACTCCACTGCCATTTTAAACCCCACGGAAGTCCTCGTCTCTGCCTCCACCCTACCGTGGAGCACACGGTGGGCATCGCCAGATGCGACGGTCCTTTAAAAATGTGACGAATAGGGTATTCAAATGCGTAAGCATATTTCCCTCAAATGCACTCGTATGAAGTGAACGTTTTTTAAGCCTTTATCTGTAAATTCGGTTTTCCGAGGACCTGTCTATTACCCTTATATATTCTGAATTAACAATTTATTTCTCAAGGTTCACGAACGCAACTTTTCACACGGGCAGTTGACAGCACTGGCGAGAAAGGGCATGCGGGAATGTCCAAGATTACATTGAAATTCGACCAGCCAGATGGTAACCTTCAGATGCAGGCACGTCTACCGGCCTGTTGGTCCATATTACTAGTTGGGTAAACCTCCAGTCGCGTCAGCACACGGTGTGTTGACGAATCATTAGAAGGGTGTCCTACCAGCTGACCCCCTGCCCGAATAGAGGTCTGCGAGGCCACACTTACACTAAATATCACTGGTTTGTCAAAAGTAGCTTTGTGGAGGCCTAAGGCCATGAAGGGTCTATCAGAAGTCAAAAGCTCTTCAAAAAAACAAGACCTTCTTAATCTGCCAAGTCAGCTCCTCTCAATCTTCCTTGACAACGGGTTTTTTTACTCAACTTTTCGAAAACGTCTTCTGTTTTACCTGATTATTGCCTCGATGTTTATATTATCGATATGTTTGCAATTCACTCGCTCTTGTCATGCTGCTAGAAAATGTGGATTCGATCCCCATATGTGACTTTTGTATAGACAACCAGATTCCTATTTCTGCCTACCACGATCAGTCGCCGAACCGTTCTTGTGAGGCATGTCGCTCATCTTTCTTGCATCTTCTCACTGCCTCTCTTGGTGAACATCTGTCGTTAATATAAATAGTGAGTATAATCGCCCGCGCGCCCTATACGGACTAGGGGCGCATAGACTACAGTTCATTTTATTGTCCCTTCCTATAAAAAGGCTATGCCGTCCTCAGAAGTTTCTGGTATCTTGACGACTGTGCTCCCCTCAGGGGGTTATTCCAGCATATCCTCCACCCCTTGTTCATCACTGGGTTCCTAATGCGTAGCATATCCCCCTTCTGGAGAAAGGTCTAGGTATCGTTCAACCAAATGGTCGTCGTTCTGAAGAGGTGAGCCGGCATGAGGTCCTAACCGATCGACACTGTCATCCGTCGGTGGTCGAGGTTTCAGGCGGTCGAAGTGCGCAATTTACTTACCTAGATATGGCCTATCCTGACTCCCAATGAGATTAGTCGTTTACGATAGGACTTTAGTAACGACGTAAGAGCCAATTTGATTAGGATTGGATGAAAAGGGCACCTCTGCGAATGACGCGAAATTCCGCATCCATATGATGTCGCTCAAACTGTACGGAGTCCCGAACGCTAGCCGATCGTAGAGGGCTTTTTGGCAGTGTCGCCCCTCCTGAAGATGCAAACATGCTTCCTCTGAAGCTGCGTGCAGAGTTTTGCAGTCTTGACACTCACGTGTTTACATTTTCTACCCAATGTACGAATGGGAGCTGAAGACCCTTGCTCAACCCAACCCTAAATCCAGCCCTAGCCGTAACATAACTAACCATGAATGGAAGAGAATATACGCATCCCCGGTTCTTGTTTAAAAGAAGGCGAAGGCACGATCACCGGGACAGTAAGTTTAATTGCCTGAGCTTTCGAACTCGAACTAGAGTTCATCATCAGAGGTTACTCGAGTGCAGCAAATTGTGAACATTTATATCGTTCATCCTTGCGGGGGGGGGAGTACGTCCGTGGCTAGGTAGGGTTTGTGCCGCCTGGTCCACGATGTTCCCCCGGCGTGGTGACGCCATTTGCACTTCGCGACGGTGTGAGCTGCGCCACCTGGCTGCGTGGGCGGAGCGCGTGATAACACGCAGGCAAATCGATGTGTCTGTTGATGGAGTTGGTGTCCGACACCCCCGCCTCCAACAGCTCTCGCCCTGTCTTGTTGCCGGCTCGCGCCAATATCCGCGTGTTGGCGAAGTCGAACTCATGCCCTTCCTCGAGCGTGTGAGTGGCTACTTGAGACAGTGGGTCGCCTCTCCGAACGGCCCGTTTGTGCTCAAGTATTCGTGAGCTCAGACGTCGTCCTGTCTGGCCTGTGTAGTGGCAAGGACAGTTTTGGCACGGGATTCGATAGACTACGCCCGACTGTTCACCTGCGTCCAGCCGATCCTTCATTTTCATGATCCTGCTACGCATGGTGGCCGCCGGATGATGAGCGATGCCCACGCCTAGCTCTGACGCGATGCGTTCTGTAGCCTCGGACACATTCTTTATGTACGGTAGGGAGTGCCAAATTGTTGGTGTCTCTCTTCCGTTTGTCCGGCGTGGTTGTGCGCGTATGCAGCGACTGATAAAGCTATTTGGGTAGCCGTTCTTTGTTAATTGGTCCCGGAGATGCCGTAGTTCTTGCATCCTTCCTTCGGGCTCACTACAGTGCGTTTTTACCCGGTCGAAAAGCGCCCTCACACAGCCCCGTTTGTGCACCAATTGGTGGTTGCTATGATAGTTGAGGACCTGGGTTGTATTGGTCGCCTTTCTGTACACTGTAGTGCTGAGGTTACCGTCAGGTGTGCGCGTGACGAGCACGTCCAGGAAGGGTAGTTTTTCGTCCTCCTCGTTTTCTCTTGTAAACTGAATGTCGGGGAATGTGCTGTTAAGTAGGTCTTGGAAACCCGATAGCTTGTCCTTTTCAATAATGACGAATGTATCGTCCACGTATCGGCGCCAAAACGCAGGTTTGTAACGGCTGAAAGCAACCTTATCAAGCTCTTTTAGGACCAATTCCGCAACTAGGCTGGATATTGGGGAACCCATGGGTGTTCCTTTGATTTGTTCGTATGTTCTGCCATCGAAGGTGAAAAAGGTTCGTTGGCAGAATGCAAAGAGCTGCAGTAGGTGCTGGATCTTTAGCGGCCCTGTCGTTTCGTTGTACTTTTCTTCGAGGCGTTTGCGTAGCACGTCGCGCGCCAAGTCTGGTGGGATGGACGTGAAAAGTGAGACAACATCGAAGGATACCATGATTTGGTCGGGTTGAATAGTTTTTCCCCGAATGTCGGCAAGGAATTGGGAGGCCGAATTGACGGACGTCACAGAGCCCTCTCGGAGAAAATTGAGCTTTCGGGACATTCATTTGGCTAAATTGTATGTGGGGCTGCCTTTCAGGGCCACGATTGGCCGTAGAGGAACGTTGGGTTTGTGTATTTTTGGTAGTCCGTAGAACCTGGCCAACGCCGTGTCGGTTGGTTTTGTCTGGCGCCATTCGTCTGGCGAGATTACATTGTTACGCCGGAGTCGGCTTAAGAGTCCAGTCAGCTGGCCAATCATCGATTTGGCCTGCGAGGCGGGTGCGGACCTGTAGGATTGTTGGTCGTCCAGGAGAGCTTGTGCCTTCTCGTTGTAATCAACGCGGTTCATCACAACTGTTGCTCTTCCTTTGTCGGCCGGCAGCACTATAATATCTTTGTCCGTTTTTAATCTCTTCATTGCTTCTATTTCTGCGGGTGACATATTGCTGGCGTGCCTGTTCGTCATCAGGAGGGAGGTAACCTTTTGGCGCACCGTGTGTTTAGCCTCTTCGCTTGCGTTAGTTCGTACTAACATGGCCTCAAGTGCAGCAATGAAGTCGGCCGGGGTAGCATCAGCACACCCACGCCGGAGAAACGGAAGAGAGACACCAACAATTTGGCACTCCCTACCGTACATAAAGAATGTGTCCGAGGCTACAGAACGCATCGCGTCAGAGCTAGGCGTGGGCATCGCTCATCATCCGGCGGCCACCATGCGTAGCAGGATCATGAAAATGAAGGATCGGCTGGACGCAGGTGAACAGTCGGGCGTAGTCTATCGAATCCCGTGCCAAAACTGTCCTTGCCACTACACAGGCCAGACAGGACGACGTCTGAGCTCACGAATACTTGAGCACAAACGGGCCGTTCGGAGAGGCGACCCACTGTCTCAAGTAGCCACTCACACGCTCGAGGAAGGGCATGAGTTCGACTTCGCCAACACGCGGATATTGGCGCGAGCCGGCAACAAGACAGGGCGAGAGCTGTTGGAGGCGGGGGTGTCGGACACCAACTCCATCAACAGACACATCGATTTGCCTGCGTGTTATCACGCGCTCCGCCCACGCAGCCAGGTGGCGCAGCTCACACCGTCGCGAAGTGCAAATGGCGTCACCACGCCGGGGGAACATCGTGGACCAGGCGGCACAAACCCTACCTAGCCACGGACGTACTCCCCCCCCCGCAAGGATGAACGATATAAATGTTCACAATTTGCTGCACTCGAGTAACCTCTGATGATGAACTCTAGTTCGAGTTCGAAAGCTCAGGCAAATAAACTTACTGTCCCGGTGATCGTGCCTTCGCCTTCTTTTATATAACTAACCATAATTATAGGTCTACCCCAGCGCATAATTCCTGACATAACCGCGACTCCATTTCAGTTGGAAATTCGGGTGAATTTACCAGTCGAAAATTACAACATTCATTGATGAGTCAGAGATTTCATAAGTTCAGACTCGAAAAAGCGAGCCAATCACCGAACAGGCCCTGAGGACCAGTAGGGAACGTAAGGGCGCCGTCGACCCTAAAAGATTCTCCTCACGTTCCAGACAGACTATTCATCCCATTCTTGCGCAGTAATGTTGACTACTCCTCATGTATAAGGTGGTGTTATTTTTAAGTCACCGTTTTACTTGCTTGCTTCACTTAGTTGTTTTTGCTCACTATTTTCATGCTATGATATCCTTCAGCCTTGTCAGTGTGGTAATTGGCCCAGGATCGTATTTGGACTTGAGTATTTAACGTCACGTTGTCTTTATCATCAAATTGCCACTTATAAATTGTTACTTGAAATGTCAGGTTCGTTATATTTTCACTATGACTCTTCCCCAGTTTCGTCCGCACTGCTCCTGATAACTTTGCATTCGCACGGAGCTAGCTTCTGCTTCTTGGCTATGACTAGTTTTGTAATATGTTGACTCTCGCCAACAGTCTCCGTGAGGACAATCCGCCCAACGGGCCATTGCGTGACTGCAGTCATGGCGTCGGAGGCCAAAAAAGCACAAACAACCACGTCTTAGCTACCTGTACAGGACTAGTAATATGTTAGTACGACAGTGTCGGGGGCTCAGTGAATTATGTTTGTTTTGTTTCCCATTTTCCACAATTGGTTCGAGAGTTTGCAAAACCACAAAATATTTCGCACACAGTACACCCGAAGCTTTGCCCATGCGATGGCTAGGTCCAGACTTATTTGGGCTAGTTCATTCCAACCCCGAAAGCATTATACTGGCCTCTGTCTAACCCTACACTCAGGCCAGTAGTCTGCTCTAATACCACCGACGCCAATCACGCGAAGAAACCGCTGGGCGGATTTTGCCTACAGTGGTTACTGACAACAGTCAGCCACTAAAAAAAACTAAACGAGGACTATTCGCGGCGGGTAGCACTGGCGTGCACGATGTTACTGGGAAGCAAACTGTTCAGTTTTAGCCAATTGTCCTAGATTTTTGTCTGTTTTCATAATGGACCGTCCGATGACCACTGTTGTCGTGGTGGTGACGGTGGTGCGACACTGCTAGTAACATACCGGGAGCGGGATATCGATTGGGTATTGGTTTTGGCCGCTGTCGCGATGTCGACTGAATGTCGACATGGTGATATAACCAAAAATGGGCAGAAACGGCGTCAAGTGATCTATAAACGAAACAGTTAACTGACGTTAGTCCCAAACCGTGCTCTGTCTTACTTTCAGTTAGCCATAATTGCCTATCACCATCCACTATAACCCATTTCACTCTGTAATCCATTCACGACAACTTCGTTTAAGCAAGTTTATACGTAAGACGGCAAACAGTGGCGTCCTAAAACAGTAATTTAAAAAATATAGTCGATGACAGGCACATATGCGGTCTTCTTTGAGGAGTGATATTCTATATACCATCTACAGTATACTGCCGCGCGTCTGGCCGTTGTTAAACTGAATAAGGGGAGCACTTTTACGGACTTCCTCGGTTCGTCTGAAAGTTTCTGTTAAACAATAAGAGTAGATACTAAACTAATCATGTCACTGCACTACCGCAAGAATCTGTTTGTAACTTTCCGGAGGCGTCCAAGTAGCTCTTTAAGCGCATTTTGAACATGGATTCCAGTTCGTAGTAGTCCTCCAGCCCCCCTCCCCATAATTTCATGTTAGGAAAATGTTTCATGAATGCTATCATTGTCGCAACCATAATATCATCGTAATGCTGACATCCCCACAGCATGTCCTTTATTCTTTTCGCTTAAGTTTAATATGGGTGCTAAAAACCGCGTGATGCATCCGTCTTACGAATTGATCTGTTTCACCCACCTAGGCGAAGCAAGTGCTACTTCTGGTTTTGTCTAGGGAGACAGTGTCAACTAACTTCCATAGGTCTTCGTCACGTGTCCTGCGTCATGTTCACGTCGAATTTCTCTCGGGAGTCATTAGCACTTCTACAACTGCACAAAGGGAAGACGCTACGTATTCCAATTAGGGTTGTCATGGCAACTTCGTCAACTAACGCCGGCAAACCCCTCACTCCAGTGACTGTGCGTTTTCGAGGTCCACGGACACTTCCCACAAGGAAACGGGTTGAAAGTGGTGCGAAAGTCATTAAATGGCACGGGCTCTATGCCACTAGTCAATAATTTCTATAAGAACAAAGGAGCAATTTAGAAGGAGACATGTATCCCCTTTAAGCGGGAAGTAAAGTTGCAGAGCCGACTTTCATGCGATGTCAGCTTTAATCACTTTTATTTCAAACGATTTCGTTGAATAGTTTAAGTAATCGGACACTTTAATGAGCCTGACGTGTACTGTTCGTACGCACCCATCGGGTTTAGAGAGTATCATTTTAAGGCACACTGCCTGCATACCTATGCCAGTTTATCTGTTGGCCAATGAGGTGTCTACTATAAGATGAACTTATTGCACACCTGTACTGTTCACTAAAATCGCAACCTTCAGGCTATGGGTATCCGTTATACTTATGAAGAGGCCTAAGCTTAGATAGTTCCTTTTCTGTAGATGTTTCAATATTCTTTTCAAATGCGTAACTATCCGTTGTAAAGGACGGTATGACTTCCTCTGCAGTTTCCGCGGTCACTCTAAAAAGCTTTCAAATCGGATCGACGAGATAGTGTCAAGAGCGCTGCAGTATTGAACGTCCTCAGTAATTTATGTACTACTGTGCGCACTGTACACCATCTGATCCTGTTTATATATAATAGTAAAGTCGTGTGTTAAAAGTCGCAACGTTTCCTTACTGTCACTTATGTAAATAAGGTCTGCGCTTGTAGTAGTTAGGACCGTAGCAAGCACACGAGATGGAGAGGACGAACGAATATGGCTGTAAGAGTCAGAACGAGAATACCCTATAACAGGGCTTTATTCATCTTACAATTGACGTACTGGGACTGAAAAGAGAAATAGAAAAGTAGTAGGTAAGATGGAATTTAGCCTGGGGCTTATGTTAGCATGGCATTCACCCCGGCCAACAAATGTAAGAATCGAGATGTCAAAAATCGATAGGAAAAGTTTGTATGGGGCAAAGTTCAGGCGTCTCTGTTACGAAGACAGTATGGGTGAACACGTTGTTGTTGTTGGGTTAATGTTTCAAGGTTATGTATACGGACATCGTCAGCGTTCGGAAGACTAACAGGTGTTGCATCATTCTGTCCGTCAGTTGAAACGGTGCTACTTTCTTGCTCGGTAATGGGTGGGTGGTCAGGGGAAAGTGGGGAGAGATTTTCTGGTACCGGCGTGGCCGTCTCCTGGTGGCAATCACCAACGTCCTTTTCACCGCTGGGAGCAAGCTGTCGAACAGATACCGTTTCTTCTCTGCCATTACTGAATCGTATATGGGCATATTGGGGGTTACATTGGAGTAGTTCCACCTCCTCAACGAGCGGATCAAACTTAGACTGTTGATTGCTTTTCTTCAGCAGAACTCTGCCAGGAGAGGTAAGCCACATGGGAAGAGTAGTGCCAGTAGTTGACCTCCTGTTGTAGACAAATATTCTCTCATGAGGCGTTGCATTAGTGGCGGTACACAAAAGTGATCTAATTGAGTGTAAAGCGTCAAGTAAGACGGATTC